AAATAAATAAATAAATAAATAAATAAATAAATAAATAATACAAGCCAGCTACACTCATACCTATCACCAACCTTTAAAAACAAATATGATGCATACTGGCATACTGAAATCAGACTGACAAGTATTTATTTGTTTGCAAGGGCTCAGAGAACGGAAGTAGATCAAGTGGTGAAATCAGATTAAGCACTACCTCCTTTAATCAGTTTAACTTCCTATTTATCATAACTAAGCAAAATGCAGAATAGCTGATTGGCCTTTTAAAGGTATTTCGAAACAACACCAACTTTTGAGCTGTAGTTATATCTCAGGGATACTGTGTCCATTTAGTAGTGTTTGCAGTACTAAAAATTCTCTACTATTTGCACAAAACGTTTCAGTACAGTTTATAGAAACTAGAAAACCTGCAGCTCTTTTAAGATAACAAATGACAAGGCCAACAATGCTGAAGTAGCATTTATGAATTTATTCTATTTTTCTGTTGGTGTTTTTCCTTTCCTTAAAGGCCATTTCAGCATACCTTCCAAAAATTAACTCTAGGAAAAATCAGATAAACAAAGGAATCTGCCCAATTACATGAGGGTCTGTCCACCATATACTTGGCCCTGCTCAGGAGAACTGTTAAAAGCATGTTTATAACTATAATGCTTACTGGAACCCAAGAGCTATTCCAATGTGCATGTATATATACTTAAAAGAAGCGAGTGTAAAAATAAATTCCTCCATGCTGAAACTTTGGAAACTTACTACTTCTACCATGAATCCCAGAGGGAACTCTTACCTCTGGATTTCTAACTCTATCTAATCATTTCCTCCTCTGAAGCAGGTACCAGCTTATTTATAAACAGGGAGATTACATCACTAGTATTTTAACTTCAAAATAACAGTACCAATATATGTTTTGTTTCTTTTATATTTGTGTTAATTACCACCATATGCCAAATATACTACTGTAGCTAATTTTAAAGAACAGCTCCCTTTACAAAACAACAAATAGTGTCTAGTTTATACACTAGTGCTTTATATATACTTGACTGAAAATATACATAGTTTGTGCTGGGACCAGAGAGGGAAATACAGTGGTGCCTCGCAAGAGGATGTTAATTCGTTCTGCGAAAATCGCTGTTAAGCGAAAACATTGTCTTGCGAAACACGTTTTCCCATTGAAATGCATTGAAAACCTGATAATCCATTCAAATGGGAACTGATTGTCATCGTAAAGCAAAAATCGCCATAGGAAACATCGTTAAGCGAAACACGTTTCCCAAGCGAAGACAGCCGTCTAACGAAACAGCAACCATTAAAAGACCCATCTAGTGAAGCAAGACCAAGCTGTCAAAAACATCGTAAAGTGAAAAACAGGGACCTAAAATTTAACCGTCTTGCGAGGCAAGGTCCCTAACATCGTAAAGCGAAAATTGCCCATAGGAAACATCGTTATACAAAGCGCAAGATCGCTCCGAAAACCTCATCGTAAAGCAAATTAATCGTTATGCGAAGCAATCGTCTAGCGAGGCACCACTGTACATTTTACACTGCAAACCCTGTTTTAAGAATGTTTATAGAATACTCTTATGAGAAGCAGCTAATGTATTCCCTAAAAAAATAAGCCCTAACTTCCCCTCAGCATTTTTAAAGGTTTTGACAAATAAGAACATTAATTAAATCAAATGACCACTTAGGAGTATTTCCTGCTATCTGTCTACATTTCGGAAAAAAAACTGCTTTCAGTTTTATTCAAGATTTATTCAACATGTGAAGGTTTTTAAAACAACTTTGAAAGTGTTGCAACACTTCTGTAAGGGTGGGGAGAAGTTACATTTCTTCATAAGTATGTAGCCAGTCAGAGCTATGAACAATCAGCTGCTCCCCTAAATACACAGAACTAGTTTTCTCTAAGCTAAATCCCACAAAGTATATTGTATATATGTATGAAACACAGCAATTACAGCTCTCAAAGTGCACACTTAAATGGCCCTTAAGATGTATCCAGGTATAAAGACAGACTCTCCTCACATGTCTTTCTTCAGCCCTATGCATCTTTCAGCAGATAATCACATTATGTTTAATCAAGCTAATATCCAGATAAATGGATATAAGACAGCACTCTTGTTCACTGTGTTTGTCTACAGACCTTTACTGCCTGCCTCAAACTTCTCTAGTCAAAACCACTCTCTGAACATTACATTTGTCCGCCTCATGTTTAAGGATTACCCTGTATTCCAGAGCATCTCATAATATAACGTTGTGGCCAACATTTCATACTTCTAAGAATGTACTGGGTTTTCATTCATCTTTCAAATTCCCTCAAGAATCTCAAGGTAGGAAGCATGAACAAGTGCTATTCCATTTCACTGTCACTTCACAAACAAACTCTGAGATAGGTGAATCTGACTGTGTGCAGCGTCAGCAAGCTTCAGAGTTAAGCAGGAATTCACACTCACTTCATCCCAGTCCAAATCCAACATCCAAAAAGCTACCCCAGAATGTAGAGCTGGGGTTATCTTCCAAAGAGGAAGATTATCTTCCTTTTTGGAAGCTTGATCTGCTATTTCTATTCAACACAGTGGTGCGTAACATATACTGGCACAATTTCTCTGCCTCTATATGTACACACATCAGTGTATAACTCATTTAAGTACTGTACAATCACACATTTCCCCTCCACATAAACTCTGTTTTCCTCTATATTCAAACCCTCCATATGGCATCTGCTATTTCACTAAGACACAATTTCTGTACTGATTTTCTCCACCCACAACAGTTTCCCTTCTGGACTCATCACTTATATTTCGCTAACCTGTTACTCCAAAACTCCCTGACCACATCCACACACCTCCTGTTTTTCTACCCCATGAAGAAATGCCACATATTTTAAGTCTTTTAAAATAATTCTCAAAAACATACATTTTGTACACAAGAGAAAAGAGTTTACAAATGCAGACTTTAGACATCCTTCAAAACTGGAGTTTGTTCTAACTCTCTGCTGAAAGGTGCAAACTGAGGCATGACACCATGCAGTGTATGAAAACTCCCTCAAAACCCAACAGTACCTCTCTGAACATACCTTTATGGAACATGGACAGCACAACAGTCCAAACATCCCTAACACAACCTCATTCCTGCACATACATGCACGTTTTCTTCTAAAGTATCATCAGATCCTGCAGATTTACAAGAGCAGATCAATATGTGCCAAGTGCACAAACTTAAACCTATTAGATTGCAAGCTTGCAAAGCAGGGTCTATTTCCCTCTCCCGGGACACACACACACACACACAAATAAATGGCTGCTTGCACAGCAGCCATTTATTTTAGGGACAATTAATAAGGAGGGTGGGGAAAGCTTTCTCACTCACAGTGATAAGAAATCACTTGCAATGCCATGGTTCAAACGCAACCCTCCCAGTCCCACGAAACACAACCCACACCAGTTGCTTCCGAGAGCGCACTTAAGCCTGTCTGCACTCCTGCCAGCCTGAACGCCGATCCTCGCCCTCGTCAACCCCTCCTCGTGTGAAGAGAACACGGATCTAGTATAGAGTTCTGACCCGCCACCGTTCGTTCCCTCATACCCGCGGCCCAACCTCTGACGTCTGGGCCCAGGCACCAACGGAGCCACACATACACACACACACGCACGCACACAGAGAGATACGCCCCGACACCACGAGCCCCCTCGGCGCTTCCTCGCGAGTAAAGCCCTGTTGCCTTCCCTCTGCTCCAGAAGCCCGAGGACGGAACCCGGGCTTGATGGCTTCCTGGGCGCGCCCGCCCGCCCGCTCGCTCGCCCTCTTCGCCTCTCCTCTTCCCATCCACACGTACACACACCCCGAGATACGTGTCCCGCCGCCGCTACCAGACACCACCACCACCACCACCACACCCGATGGGATCGGCGCCGGGACACTTCGTCACCTCCACAGGTCGAGAGGCCTAGCAGCGGCCGGCGTGGCTGGCCCGGGCTCCGCCATCCCGACTGGGCTGAGGGGAGGCGAGGAGGCTCCACCGCCAGGCCGCGACCACGGAGCCGCTCTCCCCGCCGCCCCCAGGCCGCTCGAAGCGGCGAAACAAACAAGGCCCCTCCCGCCTTGTTTGCCTGGCCTGCCTTCCCGTCCCTCAGGGCGTCGAGCCCCGGTGGTGGTGGTGGTTTTTTCCCCCCTCCTCCACCTCCTCTCTCTTTCTCCTTCCCGGCGGCCCCGATCTTGGCCTTACCTGCATCCAGCCCCCGGGGGGTCCGTCGTCGATGGGGCTGAGGCAGCGGCTCAGGCGGCGGGGCTGAGGGCAGTAAAGACATGCAGGAGGCAGCGGCCGGGCCAGGCCGGGCCGAGCGCGGAGCGGCTGGGGAAGGCGTCACGGACCTGGCACCGAGGTGGGGACGAGGCGGGTGAGGGAGAGAGGAAGACGACAGAAAGACAAAGATAGGCACAGTCACAAACACACACAGAGAAACGAAGAAAGTGTGTGTGTCTGAATGAGGAAGAAGCAGGACGGGCTGGGCAATGGACGGTCGAGAGAGAGAAAGAAAGAGAGTGTGCGCGCCTGTGAGGGAAAGCGGGCAAACCACCCCTGCCCGGCCGTCTCTCTCTCTCTCACATACACACACTTCTCTTCTTCCTCCTTCCTTGACAGGCAGCGAATAAGGGGACTAATAATGGAGGAAGGGCCTGGCCTGCCTCCGTGACACGACATGAAGGGAGGGACCAAGCCGCCTCCGCCTCGTCGTCGTCGTCCTTTTTCTTCCCGCCTCGCTGCCTCTTTTGCCCGCCTCACAGAACCTGAGGGGAAGGCCGCCACCAGGCGCTGCGGGCGAGGGGTTGTCTCCTCACAATCTGTCCTCTTTCTTTCTCCCCCCTCACCGCTGCTTTTCGCCTCCTGCCCACAGAAAGCAGATCCTGTGGGGAGTGGCGGCCAAATCGGGGTCTTCCTGGGGGGGGGGCGTCGGGTTCAGATGTTATCCGCGTTGCTCCGTGTAGAACCGGCGCCTCGCTTGGGGAGTGTGAACGAGACCCGATGGGCATGGGGGTGCCCGGGGAGCCGGTGGCATGCCAAGCTGGCCCACAGGGACTAAACCTGTGGAGGTAGCCCCTCCGCCATAATAAAAGCAGGTCGTTAAAATGAGTTAACAACAAAGCATAAGCAACACCAGACTGAAAGATGGTTGCCCATTCAGTGTGATATTTACACTGGGTTTGAAACAGGATAGTGGGTCGGCACTGCTAATTTCGGTGTGCATTGCCCTTCCTGGCATCTCACTACTTCTTAAAATTTTATTTATAGCATGACTGGGGTGGTGTAGTGCAGTGGTTCTTAACGTGGGCGATAATGCCCCCCAGGGCGCGATTTCATTTTTCAGGGGGGCGGTAGAACGAAAAGGGGCGGTAGGGGGGTGCTGGAGCAAGCCAAACCTGTGAAGATGGCTGCAGCCTTTTTACAGTGTGCATGAATATATATTTTCCTCCTATCTTAATTTAGTTTCAGAGTTTTCGTCTTGAAATGTTTAGTTCCTGCATTTTATGCCCTTTTTATATTTCTTTTTGAGTCTTAAAATTCGCATGCAACTAAATCATTAAATGCTACTTTTTGGGGGCATTTCATTTTCTTGGAATTGAATTTTGTTTTCAGGGGTCATTGGATTTAAGTGTCTTAAACAAACAAACAAACAAACAAATAAATAAGATATAATAAGAAATAAGAGGGGGACGATGATAACTTCCTCAATGGCTCAAGGGGGCGTTTCTTTCAAAAAGGTTAAGAACCACTGGTGTAGTGGATAGAGTGATGGAGCCAGGACCCAGGGTGACTGGGTTCGAATCCCTGCCATAGAAACACTGGGAGTGGCATTAAAAACCATTCCTGAAATACTCATGTTGAAAAAGCCTTCTTAGGGTTGCCATAAGTCAGTTCTGGCTTGACAGCCCATGCCAACATACAATGTTACATGGAAACTTAAGATCCCTGCAGTATAAAAGCTGTGGTCCATCTGGTTCCCAGAGCAGTTAGCTTGTCAGCACATACCATACAATTTAATTTTGAGGCTCGTTCCCACCCGGTGCTGCTCAGCTGGACAGTGAAGAGTATGGCTATGCAGAGAGGAACTGAAAGAAGCTTGAGAAGAGGCCAACAGAATGGACAGAGAACATCTAGAGCCTAACAGCTCAGCTGGTTGGCCTTATTCTTACTAGACCAACAAGTGTATGTTCTTCCGCTCATATGTCCCAATTATATTCCTAATTTATTGAAGCCAAGCTTCAACCTAGCAGTTTGAAAGCATGTAAAAATGTGAGTAGATGAATAGGTACCACCATGGTGGGGAGGTAACGGTGTTCCGTGTCTAGTCGTGCTGGCCACGTGACCACAGAAACTGTCTACGGACAAACGCCAGCTCTATGGCTTGGAGACGGAGATGAGCACCGTGCCCTAGAGCCGGACATGACTGGACTAAATATCAAGGGGAACCATTACCTTTACCTTTAAGCTTCAGCAACCACCCAATACCTGGTTTAGATAAAATTTAAAATGCAGATGGTGACGTTTCCACAGAAAAGCATCAAATTGGCCTTCATAGATTTATCTGTTTTTCTTCTTTTTCATATCCCATGTCTGTCATAAGTTTATTCCCTCTACTACCCTCAGCTGCCTTATGTATCCATCCTTATTTAACAGATTCCACCCATTTCCATTGTTCCCTAGGTGGCTAAAATGTTAAAAGTACAAGGTACCATCTCTTACTACCTTTGCTTCTCCATTGAAACTCCTGGCTTCATCCGAAAGTTGCATTTGGAACTCCATTTACATGCACTTGCCTCTAATTTGAGAAACTCAGCAACCTCTGTTATTCTTTGCAGAGTAATGTATGTTCCATACACACTGACAGTCTTAGAATATTATTATATCCACAAAAAGGGTTATAAAGTGCTGTTCAACCTAGCACTGAAAGCTAAGGAAAACACTTCAAAAGTTTCTTAAATCTTATCAGGAGCAGGAACATACAAAGTTATTCCAACCTAATTGCAATATTTGGCAATTACCCTATAGTATCAGTGCAGCATTCAAAATAATTATAACCTATGAAGTATGAACTGTTATTAAGTTAATGTTAGGGGAATTATTAAAGCAGGAAGTGATTCATGCTAAGTTTTGTTTTGCTTTTGGCCACCACTCTTGTGTAGACAGATAATTAATGATGGAATCTGGATGAAACTTGTGGGAGTTCACTCTACAATTTTTCCCCACCTCCAGATCCACAATGAGGTAAAGGTTCCCCTTGACATTTAATCCACTCGTGTCCGACTCTAGGGCACCAAGCCCAGCGTTTGTCCGTAGACAGTTTCCGTGGTCATGTGCCCAGCGCAACTAGACACGGAACGCTGTTACCTTCCCACCAAGGTGATACCTATTTATCTGCTCTTATTTACATGCTTCCAAACTGCTAGGTTGGCAGGAGCTGGGACAAGCGACAGGAGCTCATTCTGCCGCATGGATTCGATCTTATGACTAGGCTGGTCTTCTGATCTTGCAGCACAGAGGCCTCTGCGGTTTAACATGCGACACCACCACGTCCCAGTAGCAAATCCACAAAAAGTGACATTAAATCCAAATTCTCAGCATCATCATCCTCCAAAGAAGAGATTTTAGATCTCTTCTCACATTATTTTTGCTCCAGTTCACTTGCATTTATAGCCTAAATAGCTTGCCAGTATCCCCAAGTCCCGGCGTGCATCTCATGTTGATGTCCTAGATTAGAGCTGTTTGCCCTCATCGCATCCTCTGATGAACCATCTACTCTGAACACTTTTCTCACATACAAGTATTCTAGCATTTGAGAATTCAGTTTGTTAAATCCAGAGTACATAACTCCATTAATTTACTTGGTATTTAAACTCACTTAATCTAAGACCAAAATCAAGTTAAACAAAATAGAACAACTAACCTGTAAAACAAGCATTAATATATTGCTCAATAAGCAACGTGCAAACTTTAAATTAGCCAAAGCATAAAGACTCTGTTTCTGTAATAGTACAAAGGACTGACAGATTTCACATTCTCAGGATAAAATCCACTGAATACATGCTAAACTCGAACATACTAAAGAACTAAGGCAAGGTTCAAATATTATATCTGGGGCTTTATGATTCAGGATAAATAACTATTTTTTCCAGACCGGGTTGTGCCTACCATTAATAAAACATTGTCTTTCTCCTATGAACTGCAAGCACAATTGATTTTCTATACTACAGTATTGCAGATAACTCAATTTTCTTCTGTATTTTCATCCTGTTATGTTCCATCTACATCTTACACTGCAATGTAGCTCCTGTGGGTGGGAAAAGCCCCCTTCACCTAAGTATAATTATCAATATTTATTTTCTGCTAAGTGTTTATTAAGTTAAAGTGGTTTCCCATTGCTACCCATAAAAGGTCAAACAGTTACCGGTAAGTGTTTTGGATTAGAGGTTTACCCTGGAAGTGCTCAATTCGGGAAAGAAAACACATAACAGAAATTTGACTAGAAAGCTCCCCTCACCCTTTAAAAAATATTGGTATAATGGGGGGTATAGCCATTTATTTTAATATGGTTTTAAATGTTTGTTTTTCAGTTTCATTTAACTCATTTAATATATTGTGGTTGTGTGTTTTTATATCATTGTTACTGTTATGTGAATTGCTCAGCGTGACTATCAGTCAGATAGGCAGTATAACAAAACAAACAAATACAGGTAATAATAATTAATAATAGAAGGAAAAACATGCCAGCAATACCAGCACAAGACATAGACTGCCTTAACCTGCTAATAACAGATCCAATGGATATGGGAGTTGAAGAACAACAACAACAACAAAAAAGGATCAGATTCCTCTGGCTGCTTTTAGAAAAGATAACTAAACTTAATAATAGCTCTTCAATTTAGATCTATTTAGACTAGAAATAAGCCTTGCAAGATTGTGGTTTTATTTTTTAATTTTTTTGTGTGTTTTTTGAAAATCCCAATTCAGAGAAAGTTGTATATATGGGATTTTAAAAAAATTCTACAGTCATCATCTTCCATGAAGTTTATTTCAACATAGTAACCCTTTTGGGTTTTTTAAGGTATCAAACACCCAGAATAGGTTTACCATTTCCTTTTCTGGGGGAGTCCCCTGAGACTGTATACTGTAATTTCCTCAAGATTACACAGGCTGACTCTTCTCCTAGGGGGCATAGTGGAACATTTAGTTCCCAAGCTCTGGATCTGCCTCCAGATATCTAATTCAGGGTGTCTCAGGGTGCAACTACATAGCGGAGGAAAACCATATTGATCTGCTCTGAACTGGCACCTGAGAAGTCAGGTTTACCCAGGTAATTTTTTTTTCTGACTAGGCTGGAGTCAGCAGAAAGATTACAGTCATCAGTTATTAATTTCTAATTTGAATACTGTACTAGTTTCTGAGTTACAGAAATATGATTCCCTAACTTAACACACCAGTTCAAAATGGACAGAGTAGCAGAAATTATAATATCATTTGTCCAGTTCAAAAGGCTTGGGTAAAGAGGAACATTTTGAGTTTTCATACACAGCAATAAAGCAGATTCACTATTACAGTTTAGGTTACAACTGTCTCTGTTTCTCAGCCTATGGAGAGGTTGGGGTGCAGGGAAAGGAGGAAAATAAACCAAGTTTCCCAATGCTTTTGCAGAAGTTATACTGCTGTTTAGTGTTCTGGAACCTGATGTGATCTAATGATATGACTGTGTGAACAAGACACACATCTGTGTATACATATACCTTCCCTCTCTTCTCTAGTCAAAACCCATATATTTCTCTTGGAATTGCAGGTTTACTCCTCGACGTGACTGGTTGGGTTCTGGGATGTCCGGCTTTCTCATCAGTGAGGAAACAATCCATTCATAGACAAGAACAGGCATACAGCTTACTGGGGTGGGAGGACTGTCAATTAGCTCTTCTTTGCAGCTTGTTAAGGCAGCTTCTGCTATAGCCATCTGGACTTGCAGGCAAGCTGCAAACAAGAATGTTTGGCAATTTCCTCACCTCTTTTTTTTTTGTTACCTAGATATTCTAGTACATCCCTTCCTAAACCTTTTTTTTTGGGGGGGGGCACAACCATAAACACAATATGAAAGAAATATATAGGCCAAATCAGGATTGTAGACGTTGCACAAGGAACCATATAAGGGTGCGTGTTAAGAATTCTTTCCAGTTTGTGCCCCTTTCAAATATGCAAGGGCCCCCCAGGGAGCCATAAGGCACCCATAGAGAATGGCTGCTATAACATACCTTTGCACCAAGCATTCAAAAACAAAAACAAATGAAACTGGAGACAAGGGGTGCTCAGCTGAGGGGAAGTAACATCCCTGCAAGTATGCTTTCAGTCTCGTCACCCTGCTAACCACCTGCACTCCTGTTCATGCTTTTTCTCTCAAACAATCACACTTCCTGAACCAATGTTAATATTTTCCATTGAAAAAAAAATAGAAGCCTTAGCAGTGGAGGACGAATGTAGATTGGTGGAGGAAATCTCTGGGCTGAATTGCATGAATATAGATGTCACAATCTCAATTCCAGAGCAAGTCTCGTATTATTTGTCAATGTTGTCACTCCCTCGCTGGGCTATCTAGACAGCACATACCACTTAAACAGAATGGAGCAATGGCAGCAATGGGTTGGAATTTTATTTGCAACCATGTATGCTGTCTGTGGTTTGTGTGACTGGGAGGGGTTTTTCCGGGCTATGGGGATCGCCTGCCTATCCATCACTAAACAATAATTCCTTCTAGCCTTTTATTTCAAAGAGAGCCCTGTCTCTTTGCTGAGTGTTTTCTTTTCCTCTCTTTAGTCTTTTGGTGGCAGTTGTTTTGATTGCTGAGTACCAGCTTTTTAGGAGATGGGTGGGAGAGAAACAATAACAATTTCCACCAGGCACAATCCAGCAAAAATTAAACCTCGCCAATGGCAACAGGAGAATCAAGCATACATATGAGTACTCAGCATAAATGTCTTGAACAGAACCGAATGCTGGGAAAGGTGGAAGGCAGCAGGAACAGAGGAAGACCAAATAAAAGATGGAATGACTCTATAAAGGAAGCCACAGGCTTGAGTCTACAAGATATGAATACAGACAGAACATTTTAGAGACCACTAATTTATAGCCCCATCATAAATTGGAGGTGATGCAATGGCATACAACAAGAACAGTTTCTTAGGGAAACTCCAGCATGAATGAATTCTGTTAACTTAGGTCTGAAAAGAGACAATAGTTTTTTTTTTGGGGGGGGGAACTACTCAGCAATCAGAAGGCCATTATATCATCACTAATTGCTATACGCAGTTGTTTTTCATATTTTGAAATATTCATTTAACGGAGGCAGACTGCACTTCTTTAATTCCCTTGCCTTTTAAAACTCCACACTTGTCTAATTAACATCACACTCCATGCAACCAACAGATAATACAAAAGCATCTTTAAAGAATTACGAATTGTGTTTTCTGCTTACTGTATTTTTGTTGTTTGCTACAGTGGATCAACAAAGCTAACTCTCTGGAAATTTGGACTTTACATATTAAAAGGACAACAGAAAAGTATTTATTTATTATTTTATTACATGTAAGGGGTCTTGTAGTACAGTAGTTAAACTACAGTACCACAGTGAAGACTGATCATGAGTGGAGTTCGATTCCAGGCTCAACAGTAGTTAAACTACAGTACCACAGTGAAAACTGATCGTGAGTGGAGTTTGATGCCAGGCTCAAGTAGCTGCCTCCAGGTTGACCCAACCTTTCATTCTTCTGAGGTTGGTAAATTGAGAACCTAGCTCTCTTGAGAGGCAAAAATGTAAAATGTCCAAGAGTTTCCTTTTTTTCTGGAAAAATATGGAAATGTCAGTTTTTCAGTTGATCCAGTCTAGATAACTTTACATACATACCGTACATTTTTTCTTCCCAGCTGGCAGCAAAGCCTGAGAATAAAGCAAAATCACAAGGAGCCAGAAAATACGTTCATAAAAATGCATGAAATCCTATGTAGTGCCTGGGGGAAAAACTCTTAAATCCATTTAAATGAATGAATAAATAAATAAATTAATATGCCACCCAGACTACCCAAAGGTCTTTTATCAAAATTACCATATGCCACCCACACTACCCAAAGGTCTTTTATCAAAATTACTACGAAGAACTATAAAAGTTCTGTTTCCTTGCTGCCCTACAAGGCAGTTTCCTCTTCCTGAAATAGGGTGAGGGTGTAGTCTTGATCCCAGACGGTTTACATCCGAGTAGGCCTTGTGCTGTGTCAGTCACTATGAACGTCCCAGAGGGCTCTCCACTCAGGGGCGGAACTCTCGGTACGTAGCTCCGTGTGGCAGGTCGGGGCGTTTTGGGAGGGCACCGCTGGGGGATTGCGTCACTGGCAAGATGGCGGCGCCCACGGTGAGATTCGGCTTGAGGAGAGGTGAGAGAGGAGGCGAGGAAGATTGTTCTAATTCAGTGTCTCAGCATTAGGAGCCTTTCTCTTCCTCCTTTGTTTTCTTCTTCGAAATGTATATATTTCGAGGAAACGTTTCTGTGGCTATTTCGAAGAATCTGAGAGAGTAAGCTCAGGTGAATTTACGACGTAGGTTTACGACGTGGGTTGCGAGTTGACCGAAAGCTTAACGGGAAGAACCGCTTGTTCCGCGTGTTCCTCCTTTCTCTAATTTTCTGTAGGATGTGACAGTTACTCTCAAAAGGTGGCTGGAATGGGAAATAAGCCTGTAAGGGGATGAACTGGGAAGGGGACGCGAGGGAAGACTGTTTTTAAAAAGTCAGCTTTCGAAATGATGCAGGAGTAGTTAGTTTGTAAGACGCCGTCAGGTTTTTGTCTTTTTTTAAATTGTTCTTTTATTTGTATTATTTTAATTTTGTTTTGACCTGTAATGACTGCACAGACTTGCACAGCGACTTCAACTCCCAGAAATCCTGGCCAGCAGAGGTGGTGGTGAAGGCTTCTGGGAGTTGTAGTCCAAGAACATCTGGAGGCCCAAGGTTGGGGACCACTGCCTTATACAACAGCTGCGAAAGGCACTGGATTTAGTCGAAAAGAGTGGAGATCCATCAGTTGCATATGACTGCACAGACTTGCACAGCTACCCCTTGTACAACAACTGTGAAAGGCACTGGATTTAGTTGAAAAGAGTGGAGATCCATCAGTTGCATGAAAATGCTATGTATAAATATTTGCGGTGTTATGTCTCTTTCTCTTATATCTGAGGAAGTGGGCGTGTCTACAAAAATCTCACATTAAAAGATATAACAGTTAGTCTTTAGTGTGCCACCAGGTTTTTGTGGTTTTTTACTTGTTCTTTGATTTTTTAATGTTTATTTTTTGTTTTGTTTTTACCTATAATGAAGTTTTTATTGTACCCCTATATGTGTTTTGGAGCTCATTAGTTTTCCTTCCCTTTTCTTTGAAGAACAGAGTTTATTCTTACACCCCTTCTCAATTATTTTTGGGTCAGGAAGAGCAGCCAAAGTGATAAAAAGGCTCCATTATGGCAGGAGTTGCTTCTAGTGAAGTCACTGGCAAAAAACCCACAAAAACCTATCGGGGCACTGTTAACATTGACAAATTTTATTTTGTTTTGACTGCACTGTTCTCTTGGTTCTGCGGGGTTGTTTTTAAATTGGGCACTAAAAACACAATAAACTCCAAAGATTGGGGTGTGTGTAAAAATTTAAACAAGAACAATAGTACGAACTCAGCCAAAATTGAATGTTGTAGAGGAGGGGTGGGATGTGGGAGGCAGCAAAAAAATTAAGGAAGACTAGATATGAGAAGGGCCGTGGTGGCGCTGCGGGCTAAACTGCAGAAGCCTGTGCTGCAGGGTCAGAAGACCAAGCAGTGGTAAGATCGAATCCACGCGACGGAATGAGCTCCTGTCGCTTGTCCCAGCTCCTGCCAACCTAGCCGTTCAAAAGCATGCAAATGCAAGTAGATAAATAGGGACCACTTCGGTGGGAAGGTAACAGCGTTCCGTGTCTAAGTCGCACTGGCCATGTGACCACGGAAGATTGTCTTCAGACAAACGCTGGCTCTATGGCTTGGAAATGGGGATGAGCACCGTCTCCTAGAGTCGAACACGACTGGACAAAAATTGTCAAGGGGAACCTTTACCTTTACTTTAGATATGGGAAGGATAGACTCCATAAAGGAAGATTGACCTTGCTGTTGATGATACTTACCTCCAAAATGTTCTAATTCATGTTGTTTAGTCATGTCTGACTTTGTGACTCCATGGACCAGAACACACCAGGATTCATAGGATCACTCTAAGTTAAAGATGACTTGGTGGCTCATGATGGCAGCAAGTGAGTTCCGTGCATGAACAGTGTGCCAGAGCAGGACTCACCCACAGAAAATAGCTGCCTTGTGTCCTTTTAAGGAGAAAGGCAGGATAAAAATATTTTAAATAAATAAAATAAAATGCTGAAAAGTGTCTCTAGTTCAAATGTCTCTAAAAACAAATCCCAAGACAACCCTGTCTATCAAAGTAAGTTGCTTGTATTTAAGGGTTCAAGACTCAAGTAAGGTAGAATCTTCAAGGCCCTAAATCAAGCTGGCAGAGGCCTAATTCCTGCTCCAAGGGAATATAAACGCCTCTCTTATCTGTCGCTTTTCTAAAATAAAATTTTATGATCACAAATCCTTTCTAAGGATCCCCTCACTCATTGATGCTGAACCAAATAGTGCATAAGTGTTACATTAACTTTCATGCATAACATTCCATTTCTTTAGATGGTTGAAGAAAGCACTGGAAACATCCATTGTTTCTTTATGTAAAAAAAAGTTATGGTATTTGTGAATGCTGAGTTTGGCAAAAAGGTGAATAAGAGGGGTGTGTACAATTGTGCTTCATGTAGAAACAAAGTACGAATGTGGGAAGTGTATCTCATAGTATGAGAATACGAAGCTGGTTTTAGGAGATTAAGATCAGAAAAAGAAGTTTTTCACACAACACAGAATTGGGAGTGAACCTGGTACATTCCCCTCCTGTGTGGAGTTCTTATAGACATTTAATGGACTGGTATAGAAAAATGAATGCAGGACTAGATAGGCCTTTACTCTGTTCCATCGTAGAACCTTTTGTACATTTTATGCTAAGTTCACACACATTACAATGTAATTCCTCTGATTTTCAAGGAATATTTACTGATGGGCTGAGCGAGGATGATGCTGTCCCATCATGTATAATTCTCCCCCCAATGATTTTTTATTTCCCTGTCTGAAAGGACCACTATGAGTAAGGGGCCATAAGTTTTATTTATGTTGTTGTGTAACTTCCATTATCCTGGAGGGGATATCGAAACTACTGAAAACGTTAACATCAGTAAATGTTATTAAATTACAAGCATGAATAAAACATCAACTCAGACATTATAGCTGCAAGTTCTCATCTCATTATTCATTGGGCTGCTGCATAATTCTTAATTATATTAGGCCACAAAAGCTGACATTTATTACATATTCATAGAATCACAAAGTTGGAAGAGACCACAGGGGCCATCGAGTCCAATCCCCTGCCATGCAGGAACTCCATCAAAGCATTCTTGACAGAGGGCCATCCAGCCTCTGCTTAAAAACCTCCAAAGGAGGAGATTCCACCATACTCTGAGGCAGCATATTCCAGAGCTGCCGACCAGCTCTGACTGTCAGGAAGTTCTTCCTGAAATTCAGGTGGAATCCCTTTTCCTGTAGTTTGAAACCATTGCTCCTTGTCCTAGTGTCTGGAGCTGTGGAAAACAAACCTGTCCCTTCCTCAACATGACATCCCTTCAAATATTTAAACATGGCTATCATGTCCCCTCTTAACCTTTTTGTAAGGCTAAACATTCCCAGCTCCCTAAGCCGCTCCTCATACATAGGACATGGTTTCCAGACCTTTGACCATTTTGGTCACCCTCCTCTGGACACATTCCAGGTGGTCAATATCCTTCTTGAATTGAGGTGCCCAGAACTGGACACAATAAGAGGTCTGACCAAAGCAGAATACAGTAGAGTGGTACTATCACTTCCCTTGATCTGGATGCTATACTCCTATTGATGCAACCAAGAATTGCATTGGCTTTCTTGGCAGCTGCATCGCACTGCTGACTCCTGTTCAGTTTGTGGTCTACCAAGACTCCTAAATCCCTTTCACAGGTACTGTTGTCTAGCTAGGTGTCTTCCATCCTATATCTGTGCAGTTCATTTTTTCTG